TCACCTCCCCAGAGTAGTACAGTGCCACTATGGTAGCACTGTACTGCTCTGGTTACAGTAAAAAAGTAAAATAAAATATATATATATATATACATTTTTTTTAAATACTGACACCAGTCAGTATCCCTGATCCCCACCATACCAGTCATATGATGATGATGTACAGTTGTATTCAAAATAATAGCAGTGTGTTGAAAAAAGTGAATAAAGCTCAAAATCCTTCTAATAGCTTTTATTTCCATACACACAAATGCATTGGGAACACTACACAGTCTATTCCAAATCAAAACATGAAGAAAAATATATCAAATTTGTGTTGTTCCTCTAAACAAATTGAAGAAAAGTGAATATTAGACTGTTCAAAAAAATAGCAGTGTTTGTATTCTTCTTTACAAACTCAAACATTCACTATAGAAACTGAAAAATGTTTGAAGATTTTGCTTTCCTTTGAAACACTTAATCTATTATTTAGTTGTATAAGCACTGTTTCTGAGAACTGCTGTACATCTGTGTTGCATGGAGTCAACCAACTTCTGGCACCTGTGAACAGGTATTCCAGCCCAGGAAATTGGACTACATTCCACAGTTCTTCTCTATTTCTTGGTTTTGCCTCAGAAACGGCATTTTTTATGTCACCTCACAAGTTTTCTATTGGATTAAGATCCGGGGATTGGGCTGGCCACTCCATAATGTCAATCTTGTTGGTCTGGCACGTTTACTGGTGTGTTTGGGGTCATTGTCTTGTTGGAACAACCATTTCAAGGGCATTTCCTCTTCAGCATAAGGCAGCATGACCTCTTCACGTATTCTGGTGTATTCAAACTGATCCATGATCCCTGGTATGCGATAAATAGGCCCAACACCGTAGTATGAGAAACATCCCCATATCATGATGCTTGCCCAACCATGCTTCACTGTCTTCACAGTGTACTGTGGCTTGAATTCAGTGTTTGGGGGTCGTCTGACAAACTGTCTCCGGCCACTAGACCCAAAAAGAACAATCTTACTTTCATCAGTCCACAAAATGTTGCGCCATTTCTCTTTAGGCCAGTCAATGTGCTCTTTGGCAAATTGTAACCTCTTCAGCACATGTCTTTTTTTCAACAGTGGGACTTTGCGGGGGCTTCTTGCAGATAGCTTGGCTTCACATAGGAGTCTTCTAATTGTAACAGTACTCACAGGTAACTTTAGACCTTCTTCGATCTTCCTGGAGCTGATTGTTGGCTGAGTTCTTGCCATTTTGGCTATTCTTCTATCCATTCAAATGATAGTTTTTCGCTTTCTTCCATGTCTTTCAGGTTTTGGTTGCCATTTTAAAGCATTTGCAATCATTTTAGCTGAGCAGCCTATCCTTTTCTGCACTTCTTTATATGTTTTCCTCGCTCTAATCAACTTTTTAATCAAGGTACGCTGTTCTTCTGAACAATGTCTGGAACGAACCATTTTCCTCAGAATTTCAGAGAGAAATGCACTGTAACCAGCATGTACAACATTTGCTGCCTTCCTTCCTTAAATAAGGGCAATAATTGCCACCTGTTTTTCAAAGAATGAACGACCTCACTAATAGAACTCCACACTGCTATTATTTTGAACATGCCCCTTTCAATTAGTGATTCAATTACACAGAATCAGCAGCATGCATGTCATGACTGGTGGGTCTGTTGGATTTCTATTACTCTACTACACCTGCTAGTAAATTATTTGCCATGTAGAAATATCATTTCTACCAAAAACAGTGATTGATCAGGTTAGTGATGTCTGACTGCTATTATTTTGAATACAACTGTACTTCTCTGGTGACAGTAAAAAAAACATGGTGTGAAAAAAACAAATTTTATTTAATTTCTTAATTTAAAAAAAAAAAAACTGTGACAAAAAAAAACGAAACAACTCGCAATGTCTCTTACTAGATACCTTGGACTGTTTACTTTCCAAAAATGGGTCACTTTGGGGGGTACTTGTACTGTCCTAGCAATTTTAGGGCCTTAAGAAATTAAGTAGGTCATCAGTACATCAGGACTGATCAATTTTCTAATATAGAAATATATAGTTTGTAGACGCTATAAGTTTCACACACACTAAGTAATATACACCGATTTGGGTTATTTCTACCAAAGAAATGTAGCAGAATACATTTTGGCCTACATTTATTAGGAGAGATTATTTATTTACAAAATTGTATAGCAGAAATTAAGAAGAAAGTATTTTTTTCTGTATTTATATTTTTGGTATTTGTTTTTTCATTTATATATATATAAAAAAAACAGTGGTGACTAAATACCACCAAAAAAAGCTATATCTGTCTCAGGAAAAAGATAAAAATTGTATTTGGGTACAATGTTGCATGACTGAGTAATTGGCACTCAAAGTGTGACAGCGCTGAAAGCTGAAATTTGTCCTGGGCAGGAAGGGGTGAAAGTGTCAGATATTGAAGTAGCTAGAGTTTTTGTTGAGATCTTTGAAAATGCATTACTTTACTTTAAAATCAGCTAGAGAGGTCTGTGATGGCTTGTTTTAAAACTCAATTACTTTAGTTCAGAATATGAAAATAGTTTAAAGTCAAAAGTCTGGGCACAGATTCAGTCTAAGCAACTTGACTTGGATAATTACCAAACTAATAAGATGTTGAAGGAGCAAAACCACATTGCTTTTCCATTACCACTTTCACTCTGCTTTCTCCCTCTGTCAGCAACACTCCTTGGGTCTACACTTTGCATGTTTTAAATCAGTTGTGGTAAGAGACAGTGTGACAACATAGGACAGAAAACAGTTTACATTTAGGGATCTAAAATACACTCTTTTAATCTTGGGGAGATGTTTATATGATGTATTGAGATTAGGGGTTTATCCAGCTAGCCATATTGCAGTGTGCAAGTGCTGTGACCCTTAGCAACCAATCAGAATTCATCTTTCACCGCTCTGTTTTCTGTGAGTTAAAATTTGGTTGGTTGATGTGGCACTTTATTATTGCTGTTACACTTACCTTTTGGAAGATTCAGCACTGGTCTCCTCCCTAGCAGGTGGTTGCAGTTTTCACCCAAAGCCCTGGTGTCACAACCAGTCAGGAGACAGACAATCTGTTTGTTTAGGAGACAGCTCATCTGATTGGTGCCACCTGATGACATGTGGCTCGGTATTCAAGCAGTGCATCACCATGGTCCAGCTGAGCCTCTCCTGCTTTTGGCCTTACCTGTATCCCCTTTCTTCCTCAATCCTCTGTTCCAGTCCCTGGGGACACCATGTGCAAATTGTGCCCCTTAGTATCCAAGTGTCATCTAGTGACTCCTGTGTGCGCCATGTCTTCAATGCACCCTGTAATATCCAGTGTGCCCCATGACTACAGTGCAACCCAGAACATCCTGGGGGAGATTTACTAAACCCCCCCCCCCCCCCGTTGTCATCTTTTAACCCCAGTTTTTCTCCTATTTTCCTTGTGACTCCAGCGCACCTCGAAATATCCTGTGTATTCTATTGACTCCAGTTTGCCCCTCTATGCCCTGTGTCTCCAGTGCACAAAGGCATCCTGGACATCCTGTGTCATCTAGCGACTCCTAGTGTGCCCTGTGCTGCTCTATGCCACCTGTTTCTCCACCCAGCGTCCAATACATTTCTGCTTCATCTAAACAGTCCTTCTTTCAGTGGTTACGGACCAAAGTCTATGACAAGTGCTCTTTACGCTGCTCCTATGAATAATGACCCTTTATTGTTTGAGTGCTTTCCATATTGTTATTATTATTGTTATGTGTAACCCATTAAAGAATATTTGAACCCAACATTTCATATTCCTGAAATATATCTCTGCTGTACCATGTACTTGTATGAAAAAGTATCCTGTTCTCTTTGTATTTCTTCCATTCTGTGAAATCTCTGGTGTTCTTGCCAGTCCCTCTGCTTTCCTATCAAAAACTGACTATACTAGGCATGAGAGCACAGCATAGTCAGTTCTTTAGCTGTACTGAGAACTCAGTGTGCTCTCCTCCAATGATCAGACTTCTGCTCATGTGCCCCCTGCACAGCCATTCACTGAAAGTTCAGTGTGCTGCTGTTTCTCCTCCCCTTTTTGTTCTCAGCTGCATAAAGAGCTTAGAGGGTATGTGATCACTTAAAAAACGGGAAAAGAGGATTTATAATGTTTTTATATGTATACACAAATGTTTTGTCTTTAATTTCTATTTTAAACTGAGAGTTGTTTTACAAGGTGATGTTTAAATATACTTATAGCATGGGGTCTGTATCTTGTGACTACTGGCATTGTCTCTTACGGGGGTCACATGATTGGGAGCCTATCACACTGGCTTCTAATCATATACCTTGGCTGAGAGCTGTTAGAGCAGTGTTAAACACACAATCTCATGCCGCCTTGAACATATATGTGCGGGAGACCCACCTTTCATGCTGCCACATATATGTGATGTGATTTTTTTTTCTTAAATTTTTGTATTTTTTTTTTTTAAGTAGATGGTTAGGCACTGTACCTACAGTCTTCAAGGGGCAGTTTACTTGTTAAGAACACTCTGTGGCTGTCACTGCTTTGTGTTGTCAACAGCTGCACTTCAAAATATAATTTCCATCAGATGTAAATAATCTCTTTTTTTTTTTTTTTTTTTTTAGCAGGACAAATTTGAGGTTTATTTCAGGATAAGACAGGGACAGAAGCTAATCTAAATAGGATTATTTTTAGATTTTTCTCTTACGCATTTACAAGCAGAAATCTAGTTTTGTTTTTCTGCTGCTTGATGGATTCAGAGATAAGCTCGCAGACAAAGAAACAGTCATATTGTGGGGTTTTAATAATTCCCAGTTGAGGCAGTGTCAGAGAGCAGAAGTCAAAGGTTTGTTACTGGTGGCGCCTGCAGTGGAAAGAAACCCAGAAATGGCGGGGTTACCAGCAGCCGCAGACAAAGCACATTCTGTGGACAGTTTATCTCATTCATATTTTAGGATGTATTCTAGGTGTTCCGTGCTGTTTAATACATATGTTTTCTTGACCTTTTTTCCAGCTCGACAGAAATTGATGATATGCTTAGGAAATCTACCAACCTACTTCTCACAAGAACCTTAAACAACGGATTGCAAAACCTTATCAAAAAGCCTCATATAGGTCTGACTGAGGTAAGTAGTATTTTCAGTATGTGCCTGTGTCAAAAATTAAAGAGTATCTGCCACAGCATTTCTAAGCTAGCACAGTTCTTTGGACATAGAGCCATACTTCTCCTTCCTTGGGGGTCTTGACCGGTCTAAACAGAATAAAGCCCTGAATTTTTCCATCAGGTCTTCCACATATCTGCACACATAAACCGCTTCTGAACCTTTGCCAAGGCTGAAATGGCAAGGTGAAATAATGTTCTGTTCAAAATCCTTCACCAAATATTTAAAATAGTTTTTTTTTTAGGGGGGTTATTTATTTATTTTAACATACCTGTAAAATAAAGCAAACTCCAGGAACGTAGAAAATATTGACTCCCCTCGGTCCTCGTAATACTCTAGCTGCTTTTTAAGAAGAAATGTTCTGATGAGCCATAACAGTCACTGTAATACGTGACCTGCGATCTTTTTGCTTTGCTGTTTCCAGTTACCGTGACAAGTTTACTGTAGCTGCTGTAAACCTCCAAGCTGTCTTGTTGTTGCCCCCACCCTTGTCAATGTCATCAGTCCTGTGCTGTAATCAGTGATGGACTGGTGGCTAGATCATCAGGATGGGAAATGGCCCATGGCCCAAGTACCTGCACACATTGCAGCAATGAAGAGCAAAGAGCTGGCACATCAGCTGTCACGAAACCACGGATTCTGTGTTAGAACATGGAATTTTGAATAGCAGCTACAGATTAATGAGGACTGGGGAGGGGGGGTGAGTCAGTCCTTTTTCAGCGTCGACAGAGTTCTGTAATATGCCCCAATCTGTGTTATTGCATGGCCATTATCATCTGTATGACCTACAAGTTATCAATGCACAGAGTGTATGTCTGCTTTCATTAGGCACATGGCCCAGGTATCGTCAGTGTCATTATATTTGTTACAGCAGGAGGTATTGCAGGCGATTGAGGAGGCATGGTGGGTTATCTTGATTTGGATAGGTATACTTGTGTATGCTTTTATATTTTACATTGTGTACTATTAATTGATGTTTTAGGGGTACATGGATGTAGTTTGGTGTTTGCAGTACATGTAGGTCTGTTTTAATACATGAAATATATACTTTTATTTCGTTTGTAATTGTCAGTTGAAGCTTAGTAAATTTCCCCGAGAGTGTGGGTGCTGTGCTAAATATATAGCAACTTTTGGTAATGTAACTTTTGCCTTTGTAACTTTTGCTAAAATAGATCTACAGACAAAGCTTTTTTCCTAATAGAGCAGGGAAGGTTTAGAACCTCTGCCAGGTTTTTAATGCTTTCTGTGTCTCCGTTAGGAAGATTCATCCTCTATGTTTGTTTTGTCGTCATCTCTCACCAGGATAGGGTGAAAAAAAAAATACAAAAATCGCAAGTTGCTACCAGAGCTGGAATAGAGTAGAAATCTTTCAGTGGGAACACTTGTTATTGTGACATCTGTTTAAGAGGGGGCTTGGCTTTCTTCACCTTTTGGATGTTTCTTCTAAGGCAGTGTTTCTCAAACGAGGCACCCTTTAGAATTGTGCACAATCTTGGGGCACACCAGTCTGAGGGCTCATTCACACCAGGAGGTGCGTCTGAGCATATGTGTTTTTTTGTTCATTGCTTCTTTAATGGGTTGTGCTGTGTGCGTGAAACACACAAAAAAGGTGCTGGCATGATTTTTAAAATTGCACCACATCGAAATGCATGGTACTGTGGTGCTATGCATTTTAGCGGGTGCCAATGCATGTGCATTTTTGTAGATGCGTGGAGGTGCCATTAAGAATTAATGGCATCCAAGGGTCTGCAAAAAGATGCACATTTTTGTGTGATGCAGGAAAATGTGTGATTTCACACTTGTTTCCAAACTGCACCTGGTGTGAATAAGTCCTAAATGATGGTAGTGAGGCAGAATTAATTGATCTGAAGGCTGTAAATCCTCGCCCCCCCAAATACCCCTACCTAACACTTATCCCCACAAAATCCCCCTCCCAGTACAAATTCCCCCCAAAATCCTTGCATTAACACAGATCCCTCCCTCCAAAATCCCCCTTTCTAGCACAAATCCCCCCCGAAGTCCCTGCTTCTAGCAAACTCCCCCCTCTTTGCACAAGTCTCCACCCAAAATTCTGCCTTCTAACACATATGTGGTCTGTGCTTTGTCCCAGATCACCCCCCATCCTGTCTGTATACACAATATGACACAAAACTCTCAGATCAAGACTGTGTAGGGTTTGATTAATCCACCCAACCCCACCCCACCCACAATTTCTGCTGCCAGGATAGGAGCGGTGTGGGGAAGAGATAGGGGGGCAGTAATCAAGTTCTGTACATTCTGTGTTCTCTCCTAATTCCTGTATACAGAGAGGAGGGAGAGAGCACAGCCTGCACCTCCTTCTGGCTCTCTGCTTCTCTATGCTGTTATCTGTATTCTTGCCGGCAAAACAGAAAGCTGTGCGGGCTGCCTGCCCTGTTCTTAGCCTGAATAGCTAGCACTTGAGTGCCTGTCACGGCTGCAGCAGTTCATATTACAGCAGGCCATCACCCCAGAAAACAAAATGTATACTACTTGCTCCAGCCCCTCCCTCTCCCACAATTCGTTTTTTTTTGTGCTTTTTACTCTTTTCCACTAATAATCAGCTTGTAGAATTTAGTGGCCCCTTAAAGAGCAGTTGTTTTACATGCTGATAACAGGTTTTGATTAATCTGTCCAGTAACTGAATGTAATACCACAATGTACAGCAGAAAACATGTAAACATGTAATTTCATCATAATAGTGGCCACACGCGCTTCAAATGTATTATCTGATCAATGTGCGATTCAATCAAAATGATCACATCAGCAAACAATTGAATACCCATAACTTCCCTTCCGATTAATTTAGACTCAATGTAGATCAGATTCGATCAAACTGAGTTGATCGGCCAGGACGGGAAATTATTGATCACGATGCATTGATCTGCAGCACTGATATGCTTTAGTCATGAATCTGATTGTAATTCTGTTGATCAGATTATGAATTACATGGTGGAGATATTGACGCAATCAATCATTTACAGTGCTATCGATTGAAATCCACTTCCCAGTGTGTGGCCTATCAATCGATTGGGTTGTTAACTATAAATCATTTATTACTATCAGAAAAGATCGATTGAAAACTAAATTGAATATTCATCACAGTGTGTATGACCACCATAAGGCCTTATTCACACAGGCGTACTTAAGCGTACACTAATGTCAGAGCTGTGTTTTGCCCTGAACACACATTTCGAAGATCCGCATCTGCAGCCACACGAATGTGAAATTGGGAGCAGCACCATGCAGCCACTGCATCCCAATTGACATGAATAGACTGCATGCGCACAGATGTACGGAACGGTTGTTCATCCCGTGCAGGCAAAACATGCATTTTGTTATATATCGTGTGGCTGGCCGGGTGCGTTGCTTCCCTGGAGAAGACATAGAACTAGGATACAGTATAGGAAGAGGCAAACTGGCAGAGGCAGTGTGATGCTTTGAGCAATGTTCTGCTGGGAAACGTTGGGTCCTGCCATTCATGTAGATGTTATTCATTGACACTTACTACCCACCTAAACTTTGCTGGTGTCCAAGTTCACCTTTTCATTGTAACGGTATTCTCTGATGGCAGTGGCCTCTTTCAGCAGGATAATACGCCCTGCTACACTACAAAAATGGTTCTAGAATGGTTTGAGGAACACAACAACAAGTTTGAGCTGAAGGAAAAAGGAAATCCTGATTGCTGCACTACTGTCAAAATCACCTTTATTTGGAAAATCGTCAACCAAAGTAAAAACATCAACATGTTTTGCCATACACTAGTGCTTACTCATATGCTACGAGTAAGCACTAGTGTAGCGCGAAACATGTTGATGTTTTTACCCTGTCTGACGATTTTCCAAATAAAGATGATTTCTACAATAGTGTGGCCATCAGGATTTTCATTTTTCCATTATTATCAGCTGTGAGCTGGGCCGACTCCTGTTCAACCTGTGTGAGGTTGGCAATCCTGGAGCGGTGTTTTCTCTTTTGTTTAACAAGTTTTGAGGTGTTAACCTGGCCTCCAAATTCTCCAGATCTCCATCCAATAGAGCATCTGTGGAATGTTCTGGAAAAACAAATCTGATCCATGGAGGACCCACCTTGCATCGTACAGGACTTAAAAGAACTACTACTAACAGCTTGGTGCCAGATAACACAGTATACCTTCATAGGTCTAGTGGTGTCTATGCCTTAATGAGTCAGGGCTGTTTGGCACAAAAGGGGGACCTACGTAATTTTAGCTGGGCCATCATAATTTTATGGCTGATTAGTGTATAAGCAGCACAATTACAAGTCTGGATGATTCTGTTCTGTTCACTTGATAAGATACTCATTTCACATAGCTCAGTGTCTTCATCATGTCATTATGTTTGTACTAAAAGCATTTACTTACTTCCATAAACTTGCTTACCCTCAAGGTTTGGGTGTTCCTCACCGTATTAAGGAGCTCTATAGTTCTCCAAGCACAGCTCAGGGCTATATGTAGCGTGGCTGAATCCTGTAATACAGTAATTACAGCGGTATAGGAAGGACAGTACCTCTGTAGAATAGAATCAGGTGGAACCGGGTGGTACATGCCTATTATCAGATGTTTTTTTCTTTGTAGCTTGTGCAGATCATCATAAACACCACACACCTGGAACAAGCCTGTAAATACCTGGAGGATTTTATTACCAATATTACAAATATTTCACCCGAGACTGTTCACACTACAAGACTTTATGGCCTGTCCACTTTCAAGGTGAGTTTTATTGTCATACTACTCAAAGGTGACACAACCAGCTCTATTAACAAAAGTAATTGCTGTCCCATAATGTTGACTAAATAGGTAACCTTTTTGAACTTTAAAGGGAATTTCCACTTTCAGTAATATTTATCAGTGTGGTAATGTCCTGAGCTGGGTGGGTTACTTGTAGCCACCACGACTGAACATGATAGGGTCGGATATGTAATAGCTTTCTCTGGGGATTTCCAACACAGCACCTGCTTTAGAACCCCATTCAATTTCTTTACAGATTTTAAAACATTGCAGATCATCAACAGCACAAATTTGCTCTTACAAATAGAAAGATATTGGGGCTGATTTGCTAAAGCCAAATAGACTGTACTTTGCAAGGGAATATTTTCTTAGCTTAATGAATGAAGTGAAGCTCTGTTGACTTCTCTCACCAAATCATGTGCAAGCAAAATACTGCTTTTTAATATTCCTTGCATAAGATTGGGTATTGTTGGAAAGTGAATTTTCTCCACATTCACTAAGTCAAGGGAACATTCAATTGCGAAGCACAACTTCCCTTGCACAGTGGACAGTCTGTTTGCCTTTTCTAAATCAACTCCACTGTCTTTTCTAATATAGACTAATACATGCTTATACGTGTTTTAATGAAGACTAGCACATTGATTATTAAGAAAAGATAACAAATTGGTTTTAGGGCAGAATGGTGGCTTTGGTTAGCACTGTGGTGTTGCTGTGCTGGGGTCCTGTGTTTTTCCTCCAGTTGCCTTCCACAGTCTGAGGGCCAGTTCATATCAAAACTTGGTGTGAGAAACCAACGCCTTTCCTGCACCAAGTTCAAACCATACTGCACTTGTGATCTGCCACAGGTGTCAGAGGTAAATTAATGACACCCCAAATGCAGGTCACAAAGGCAGTGCACTTGCCTGCACTGGATTTGGATTGTACAGTAGTACCATACTATCCGGTTGCTGTGCATATTTTTAAAGTAGTGCACACACTACGTTTGGTGTGGTCTGGAGCGATTTCAGCCTATTCAAATGAATGGGATAAAAATGCACTGCACACGGACTGCATGGTGTGAACTGGCCCTGAAACATACTGTTAGTTTCATCAGTTTCCAACCAAATCTGCTCTAGTGTCTTGCACCTTTGGCAAGAAAAAAAATTTCCTTACTCCCTGGGACATCTTGAACAGACTTGTATAATTCTTCAGGGACAGTTGCTGAGAACTCACTTCCTATTAACAAAGCACACCCACCCCAGAGCTACATCTCCCAAATGTCCTTTCCCTATGCACAGTGAGGTTGATTTACTAAAACTAGAGAGTGTAAAATCTGGTGCAGCTGTGCATAGTAGCCAATCAGCTTCTAACTTCAGCTTGTTCAGTTAAGCTTTGACAAAAAAAAAAACTGGAAGTTGATTGATTTCTATGCAAAGCTGCACCCGGTTTTGCACTCTCCAGCTTTAGTAAATCCACCCCAGTGCGTTGGCAGGCTCTGGGGAAGCAAGGCAGCAGCATTGTTTTAGCTGGGAAAAAAGGCAGGCCATACATGATGTTATTTTCTTTCCTGCAACCACGGGTTGCAGGAAAGAAAATAGCTTGATTGCTTGAACAGTGACTGTGTTGATAGTGGAATCACTCCCGCGGAGCTATTGTGTTCTCCTGGCAGGGGGGCAGGGGGAGCTGTCCCTGCCGGGAGAACACAGTGATTATTGCTAGCAGCTATATTAGCTGTGAGCATTAATTGTATGAAAAATATGACATGCTGGTGGTACCAAAGTCGTAAAGCAATCAACTTGGATACAATCAGCCCACACATAGATGGATCGAATCCTGGCTGGTCCCTGCTGAACTGGCTGGCATTCGAACCATCTATGGGCGGCTTATGTCCACAGAGTTGAATGTCAATAGAGGCAAATAGGTTGTTCACTTTGCAAGGGAATGTTTCCTTAACTTTGTGAATATGGTGAAAATATACTTTGCAAAGAAAACCCAATCACATGTAAGGACAGTATTTTTGCTTTGCACATAATTGAATGATTGATGTCAGCAGAGCTTCATCTTATTGACTAAGCTAATGGTAAGCTCCCATTTCCATTGCTAAGTGAACAGCCTATTTGCCTTTTGTAAATCAATCCCAATGTATGGATGTGGAGAGAGGTGGAGGATAGGTGGAGTTCTGCAGTCCAGCGGGCAGGGCTGACAATCTGGTTGACATTTCAGTTCAATGTTAGGTAAAACAACAAGTTCAGATTGCACTAGATTTCTGCCAGATCAACAGGTATTCTTCCATGCTTGCAGCATTTTTAAGGGGATAAAACATGGGAGCGGGTGCTTGTTTTGCAAGCATACATGTTAATCACTTCCACATTGATATCTGTTGTGTTTAGCCCTTATTATAGAAATTTGTTTTCATTTTAGAGTTGCTGTGCAGCTTTAATACTGCACACTGTAGTAGAGGTACGATTGTTGCTTTCTATAACTTTCATTTGACATTTAATAAATCTTGTACCTGCACACAGAAAATTTGTTTTCTGTACCCACGGGGCTCCCTTATTAAGGACATTTCATTACTGATTAACAAGCTTTTAAAAATGATCTATAACAGGCTTGCTAATTTGGGCGTTTTGTTCACTAGTAAAGGATGGACTGGCAAGTCAGCGGTAAGTGAGTTACTGCTAAAACCATGACATTTTGATTGATTATCTTCAATATATTACTAATGAGCTGCAAGACTGTAGATCTAAATTTAAAAGCAAATTTCTATTTGTCATGTAGGAGAAGCACTGGAGTTTCCTGCAATTTCCAGTTTTGATTTATTGTAATGGATAACACTCTGTAACCTGTGCACTGTTTTGTTCAGGATGCAAGGCATGCCGCTGAAGAGGAAATATACACCAAACTCAACCAAAAAATTGATGAATTCATCCAGCTTGCAGACTATGACTGGACAATGGCGGAGCCAGATGGAAGGGCCAGCGGGTATCTAATGGATCTGATTAATTTTTTACGAAGCACATTTCAAGTTTTTACTAACTTGCCTGTAAGTTGATGGAATTTCCTATGTTTACTGTAAGCTTGAAGTAAGTGGATGTGTAGTTGTTGATTGTAGGAACATTTGTAAGTTTGAAGCGTATTTCCATTTTTGCAATCAAATTTGAGAAACCCCCACTATATGTTTGTGTGTTCCCATTCATTTTTTAAATGTATTTCTTAACTTTTGGATGTTTCTCAGGGGAAGGTGTCATGGCTGACTTCAAGGTTTAAAAAAAAAAAAATGCCACACTGAGTCTGTCCCAAGTCTGTCCTTATTGACATGTGATGCAAGCAGCCTAGCCCCTAAACCTTTAACCCTTTATTAGGATAGACAGTGTTCAAATCTAGTTTAATTGTTCATGAAGATCTGCCTACAAAGTACAGAAAGGGTTAACTATGGCAAACATAGCTGACCAGCCCCCTTATAAAGAAAGATAACTATGTATGTGTTTGTTGCTGAAAGGTCCAGAATAGAGCATCTAAAAAAAACTGCAATTTTGAAATCTTTTTTTACGTTATGCTGTGTAGATGGGGACATGTAACAAATATAAAGTAAGCATCTTCCCAGTCTGGCAGTAAACATTGCAAACATACAACAGGGGAATTTCCCAGATGTGGGTATGAATATTTCATATACAAAAGACCATTAATGATATATAGCGATCAGAAATAGTGATTCTGTCATTCTGCTGCCATTCTTAACAGAACATTTAAAAATGGTGTTGTAAAGTGTTTGTGTGCTCTGACCTTGTGTGCCCGGTGTGCGCTCATTGTGCTATGATGTCATTTCTCTGAATTTGTGTGCTGTGTTTGTTTGGTCCTGACTGTTCTCAAGAGTTTTAGGACTGTGTGTGCTGTATGTTGGATCTTACTGTGTGTGTGCTCTGAGTGCACTAACTGTATTCTGTCTGCATGTGCAATGTACGTGTGTAATTTTGCATTTGCATTGCATGTAAACTCATGTATTGTGCATTTTCATGCACACCAGTTGACTTCTATGGGACCCATACTGCCCATCGATGGATGAAAAAAAGTTCCAGAACTGTTTTCCATGACGACCTCAACACAAAGCATATATGTGAACCAAACCCATTGAAAACAATGCAATACCAAGTAACTTGTGTTTTGATAAGTCATAATAAAAAGAGATGCCAAAAATAAAAGCAAAAAAAATGTGAAAAAGGTATTCAGGAGGCAGCAGGGTCACCTCCTGAACACCTGACAACAGCTGCTTAGCCACACTCTGAAAAGTGATCCAATGCAGATCACTGGTCAGAAAATGTTGGCAAGTTTCAACTTAGCCTAGGAGACATAGGTGTGAACATCGACTAAGTCAGCTGAATAAAGCTGAGTGATATGGAAGAGAATATAGACCGTGTTTTGAGAGTGCTATACTCAACATATTGATGATTGCATATATGGTCCTTTAATACAAAATATTTTATATTTACAAGTGTAAGGAAATGAAAAAAAAACAAAGTACACCTCTTTTACAATTTAAATATAAAAAAGGCTTAATAAAGTAAACTCCTAATATTCACTATAGCTTTCCTAGCCGTAGCATATGACACTATTATATGGGAACATATGGGAGTGGGTGTATTCAGCCAGAACATAGCTATGAACCTCACAAACATATCTTGAACGTGTCACCAGTTGGAAGACTAAATGGAAGTTTAGAATTAGACTGTGGGTGGCAGCGCAATTAGCACAGAGCAAGTGCCCACAGTTATCTAGGGTCTAGCTGGGACATTGCAATGAGAAAATCATAATTACAGTATTATCAGAAATACTTATTGGACTAGTAAGATAATTTTTTTGAACAAGTATGTTTGCGTTTTAGATGTAACATTCCTTTAAAGAGACTTTGCCATGCAAAACCAATAAAGAAATGACTACCGGTATAAAGTGTGGGCACCTAGGGGTACCTGCAGCAACCTCTAAAACTGTCCTATCACACTGGAATCCCTGGCCGATCTGAACTGCAAAGCTTTGGCACTTCCTAATACAGAAGCTTAAAATTCTAAAAAACAATCAGCTCAGTCTCTAAATAACAATTTCGTGAAAATAATCCCAAACAAACTTAATTGCTGCTAAACATCTTAAAGTGCTTTCACTACACCCCACAGCAAATACATAGAGATATTGATGTAGCCCAATTACAGTGGCTATAAAAAGTCTATACACTCCTATTAAAATGTCAGGTTTGTGTGATGTAAAACAATGAGACAAAGATAAATCATTTAAGAACTTTTTCCACCTTTAATGTGACCTATAAACTGTACAACTCAATTGAAAAACAAACTGAAATCTTTTAGGGGGGTAGTAAACATAAAAAACTAAAATAATGTGGCTGCATAATTGTGCGCACCCTCTTATAACTGGGGATGTAGCTGTGTTCAGAATTAAGCAATCACATTCAAAATCATGTTAAATAGTCAGTACACACCTGCCATCATTTAAAGTGCCTCTGATTAATCTCAAATAAAGTTCAGCTGTTCTAGTAAGTCTGTCCTGACATTTTCTTAGTCGCATCCTACAGCAAAAGCCATGGTCCACAGAGGGCTTCCAAAGCATCAGAGGGATCTCATTGTTAAAAGCAATCAGTCAGGAGAAGGGTACAAAAGAGATTAGATATACCATGGAACACAATGAAGACAGTCATCATCAAGTGGCATTACCAAGAACTGGATGTACCTCCAAAATTGATGAAAAGACGAGAAGAAAACTGGTCTGGGAGGCTGCCAAGAGGCCTACAGCAACATTAAAGGAGCTGCAGGAATATCTGGCAAGTACTGGCTGTGTGGTATATGTGACAACAATCTACCATATTCTTCATACAGTATGTCTGGGCAATGGGATAGAGTGGCAAGCCTTTTCTTACGAAGAAAAACATCCAAGCCCGTCTAAATTTTGCAAAAAACACATCTGAAGTCTCTCAAAAGCATGTCAAAAAATGTGTTATGGTCTGATGAAATCAAGGTTGAACTTTTTGGCCATAATTCCAAAAGATATGTTTGGCGCAAAAACAACACTGCACATCACCAAAAGAACACCATACCCACAGTGAAGCATGGTGGTGGCAGAATCATGCATTGGGGCTGTTTTTCTTCAGCTGTAACTGGGGCCTAATTCAAGGTAGAGGGAATTATGAACAGTTCCAAATACCAGTCAATATTGGCACAAAACCTTCAGGCTTCTGCTAGAACGCTGAACATGAAGAGGAACTTCATCTTTCAGCATCACAAAGACCCAAAACATACATCCAAATCAAAAAAGGAATGACTCTGGGGACCATTGGCTTACTGGGATTGTCTTGCAAAGCATTAATGACCACTTTAGAGATAGATGGTTATGGAATGAGGGTCAGTCCATGTGGGGCACTTTTGTTGAGCACAATGGAGCACCAATCAGGATATTGACTACAAGTTGACCACAAGCACAAGCACTTTCTTTTACACTAACTATGGGATTGGTTTATGATATGTCTAAAATATGCACATGTTTATGATCATGCGCGGTTCATCTATTTTTAAATTTAATTTTTTTTTGGATCTGAAGGATGTCTGGGAGTGCTGCATCCAGAAGCTGAGAGGAGGGAAAGATCATCCCATTTCCAGGTGGATGCTAGCAAGTCTCACGGAGTTGACTTCAGCACCCCGTACATCTTTCAGCTCCAAACCCAAATGACCTAGTCCTGGCATTACTTTCAGCATTCCTCCTGTTGCATTCTCTATCATTAACAAAAAATTATATTTCAAATTCTAGAAGGGAGTTTGGGACCCAATTCCCATGACTTATATGAAGATCTGGGAACTTTGCAACTTTCGCTACTAAAGTCTTTGCATGATAGAAATATTAGTTAGTTTCAGTCTCTTATATCTACCAAAAACTGATATGTCACTTTTGGTGGACCATTCTACCTGCATTGGTGAAGCTATCAATGGAGATGCAATAATGATCATTTTTCAGAAACTATTAATATTTTCTAAAATTGGTGGTATATTCATATAAGCAAGAAGAGTGCAACAGTGTCAGAACACAGGAATTTATCAGCTCATAGGATTTTTGGCAAGATGAACAGGTATTAATCGAACAGATATAGCAGAATGTTATCAGTTGTATAGTTAACGGAACAAAAGAGAGAGAACAGAAAATAACAGATAGGTTTATATTCTGTACAGTTAAAGTGAAATTAGTTGTAAACCTCAGACAAAATATCAATAGGGCATATCCCTCTATAGTGTATTCTTATGCTGCTAGCATTAGTAAATAGATAGGAAGGTACAGTGTATTATATTTACTTGTTTTACAATTTTTTTTACATTTCTTCAGTTACTTCCTGGTTTCCATGCCTAGGCAAATGATGTCATACATCCCAGGAGTCTTCAGGAGGGAAGGAGGGGCTTTCTTAGCTAAGCACACTGCCATGCCTGAGCAAAGATGGATTCCAGATCTCAGGACGTAAATGCATCTGCCCTTACTTAGGATAGCCACAGCCAGAAATGCTAGAGGGGGTTTTAAAAGTGACTTCTTTGCTCTGAATATTAAAAATGAATCAAATAGTGTTTTTGGTTTGTGCTGCTCAGATGCAGTGTAGTTCCGCTCTAGTTCCGCTTTAACACCTGGCTGTCAATCTGCTATAGGCCGGATGGGACACTCCTCCTTCTGAGTGGGCATCATATGACCTCCTGTCAGAAGGTGCCACTCACGCGGCTGTGAGGCCACGCAGCAGCGTAATCTGTCACTGGCTATGTCCACGGGACACAGCTGATGACAGATCACTACTCTGGCCCGTTGCCAATGTCATGTGACTGCTGTGACCAATCACAGCAGATCACATGTCAATTGTATACAATGGATGACTTCCTTTCATGCCATCCAATGTATACAATTGGGTTGTTAGCTGTGATTGGTCAAAGCAGTCACATGGTACAGACAGGGCCAATCACAGCCCATCTGTATCATGTGATGAGCTTTGCCCAATCACAGCTAATCACAACAAAA